AAACTTCCAGGAAATGAGGTTTTTAATTCGGATGAGTTAAATTCAGAACTTTTCATCCAAAGGTCTCTTATTCTTTGGACATCACTGAATTATACTTCATTTTACCAGTGGGGAGGTGGGGAGGAAGCCAGGGAGGGCCCTGGTATGGACTCAGCAAAGGCCACAATGCTGAATTTTAATAAAAAATCCATTAATGTGATTAACAAACAGGCCCATGGGGGCAATGCTATATCCCTAAAATCCCTAAATTCCCCTCAGCACAGAGGGGTTCCACAGCTGAAGGGACCCTCACCCTTTGGCTTGTCTTCTTACATCCTTTATGAATATGAGAAATGATCAATACAAAACTTCTGCAATTTCTCATTTCCTGCCCATCATGGCTGTGGCAGAAAGCTCTTGCCTGGCACTGGGGAAGAAATGACACATGTGACAATTCCTATTTCAGGATGGGAAAGCCATCAAAAGTCCTTTATGGGAAAAATAAAGACTTTCTTCCTACAGAAGCACGTGTGATTCAGTAGCTTGAGCAGGTTCAGTGGCCTGAGGAGGAGTTTCAGGAGGGTTTGTGCAGTTGGAGCCAGCCCTCACAGCCACCCTTGGCTTCCTGTGGAATACTGCTGGGAAAACAATGTGAAAAAGGGAAATTTTTTTAATTTTAATTTTTTGTTTTGTAAAACCTTTTTAAATACAACAAACCCACATCTCATTGGGCATTATTACTTGCAACATAGAGAAAAAACACTTTTTATGAATTCACATATAACTGCATTCCACAGAGCCCACCAAAACAAGAATTAATGTCGTGGTGAGCACAGGACTGACGTGGAGCCTCTGCTGGTGTGCCAGAGCTGCGGGCACGGTGCCCCTCCGTGGCTGTGCATGGGCGAGGAATCCTTCAGCAATGCTCTGCTCCTGCCTTTCTGTGCCTTCCCCAGCCCCTGGGGAGCAATTCCAGCACATCTGCAGTGTGCTGGGACAGGGGCAAAGCCCCCGAGGGATGCCAGGTGTGAGGAGATGGGGGTCAGCCCCAGAGAGGAACATTCATTAATCCCATCATCCCTGGAGTTTCCATTTGCCTTCGTGGGGATATTCCCAGGCCTTGCCTAGCTCTGCTCCTGGGTGTTGGGACTGGCTGGAAACACAGGGAACCTGAGTGGAAATTTCTTTAGTACCTAGAATTAACCTTTCTTTCCCAAGTGACTTCATGTTTTCCTTGTTTCATGAGACTCTTCTTAAACCAGCTGCACTGAACTTCCTTATCCATTCTCATCTTCCCCAAAAATCAACCTCAACAGAGAGACATCAGAGCACTGCTTCCAAAAAACTTCCAGAACTTCCCACTCCTGTTGTTCTTCTTGTTGTGCCAGATTGTCCCTCAGATTCTTGGCTTGTTTGGTTTTATCTGTATTATGCACATTAGTACCAGGCATGTCTCAAAATCCCTCAGCAAACAAGAACAAGCCAAATGCTCTTTTCCAAAACTTGGAAGCACGATACTGAGGTGTCCCACCAAGATCTGCTCAAGCCATCCAAGTGCTCTGATTTTCTGCTCTGGGATGGATTGAGGGATCCCACAGGGACAACTCCCCTGTGCCTAATCACAAAGGGAGTTTGCAAACAAGCCCTCCCTTCCTCAGCAGCCCGAGGCCTGCAAATCCACCTCACTCTCAGAGCACACTGCTTCCTGTGGCCTCTGGTGCTTCTGCTCACTGCTGGTAAGGAGCAGAACTGCTTCAGTCTCCACATAATTAAAGTTAACCCCAAATCTCTTAGAATAGCCTTGCCACAATGGCAAGGAAGCAAAAGGAAAGGGGAGCTGAAGGGCCACCAGGGTGACAGGACACAACCAAAGACCTTTTTGAGGCTTCTCTGCTGGACACTGGCAGTTGAGGGACGCCCAGGTGGCCTTGGCACCCGTTGGCAGAGGGACAAGGGGACAATGGGATGTGGAGGGGTGAGAGGGAAGTAACACAGGGCAGCTCCAGATGTGCCACATCACATCCCTGTGTGCTGCAGGCTGAGCTCCTACACAGCCTGGGTGTTCCTGGCTCTGCCCAGGCTCTGCACAGCACAAACAACACAGGAGCAGCTGTGCCCCATCCCTGGCAGTGCCCAAGGTCAGGCTGGACAGGGCCTGGAGCAGCCTGGGACAGTGGAAGGTGTCCCTGCCCAGGGGCTGGAGCTGGATACTCTCTAAGGTCCCCTCCAATCCAAACTATTCTGTAACTTTTTTGTCATTCTGTTTGTGGAACTCTATCCAGGAGCAGACCCTCAGTTTGTTTGGGATGCTGAAGCTTTGCTGCAAAATAATGACACAGAATGAGCTCCTGCAGGGAGGGAGGGCTACCTGCAGCAGAGACAGGTGTTTAACTGCCTCATTGTCCACAACAGAACACAAAGGCATTTGATATCATGACAATCAAAACTGTAGGTTTATTCACACACATTTTCATGTGGCAGTGTTTTCAAATGACAGGCATTACACAGGAAAATGACTTGAACAAGATAATTTCCCCTCCAACACTGGTACAATGCTCACTTTGAGAGAAGGAAGGAGATGTGTTGCACTGCAGTCACTCACTTTGGATCTGGTGTTTTGTTCCACTGTGAGTGTGGTGAGAAGGAGAGGTGGGCAGCTGGCCACAGGTGGAGCAGGGCTGCACAGGAATTCATCTCTCCCCCTCTGCTCCGAGGACATGGAAAGGTGGAACCTGCTGCCTGGGGAGTCCTGCCTGGGCCAGGAGCTCTCCTGCTGGGTGAAGGTTGTGGCTGCCCAGGAGCTGCTGTAACACAGGATGCTCCCCACGGGCAGCCAGGGCCAGCCTGCCAGGACAATCTGCACCTCAGAGTGCTGTGACACTGCTGAGCCCTCTGAGGGCAGCACGTGTCAGGGCCTTGCTGCTGCTGATCCACCTGCCCTCCACACCAGTGGGCTTCATTTCAGGTGCCTGCCCCTCTGAAACCAGCTCTGCCTGGCACAGCTTTCCTTTCTGTGAACAATGCCAATTTTGTGATTGGCTTTTTGCAAATATTGAAGCGAATATTATATATGTTGCATTAGAAAGTAATGCTGTGTTAATTCTCTTAAGTAATGTGTTAAGTATAGTTTTAGGTTATAAAAAATGTTAAAATAGAAACGATGCTATGCAGGATACTTTTTTTAAGGACTTGCAGTGAGATAGCAGCCACAGGACACCTAAATCTTTCAGAGAAAAATAATTTATTGCTCCATTATCAGAAGAAACGAACTTCTTCCCCCCTGGAAGGCGCTGTTAGGATTCAGAGGAAGAAGTTGACAATGACCAGACAGAATCCTGTGTTTGAATGGAATTTATGCATCATGTATGAGGTGTATGAAAATGTACCAGGCTATTGCTTTTAAGGGTTAATCCTCTGTTAATGGGTGCCCTTTTTCGGGCTCGTGCTGCCCAGAAAAGTTACCTGGCCATCTGTAGCTCTTTGTTTCTATTGTCTCATATTGTCCTAATTCAAATTGTCCAAATTATTATTAGTCTATTTGTATTAGTATTTTTATTATTTAACCATTTTATTACTATTAAACTTTTAAAATTTTAAAAACAAGTGATTGGCGTTTTCCACACTTTCCCTGCCTGGGGGCCACTTTCCATCACTTAGCCATGGAAGAGCTTTCCAAAGGCACTGGAAACGCCTGGGGGCTACAGGAGCTCTTCCTGCTCCGTCTGATTCTTTGCAAAATTTTACCAACCCCTGCGTGGTTTGGGTGTTGATAGAAGCGATGCAGGTTTGCTCGCAGGGTGTTTGCCGAGCCTGACTCCCCTGTGTGCCCGGAGCGGCGCTGCCGGGCCGGGAGCAGCGGGAGGGGCTCGGAGATGATCGCGGCTCTGAGGTGATCGGACCCTGGGCAGAGTCTCCAGCGGGTACCCGGGAGGTGATACAGCTGGGTCGCACTCGGTGGCACTTCCAGACTGGCTGTCCCAGCTGAGGGACCC